CGAAAACCTACACGTAAGTAAACTGTTCTGATTAAACGTAAATAATTCTAGTATAATGCCACCCCTAGTTGGCTGCTCTTATACCTGACGTTCTAGGAGAGTGAGGCTAGTTTTCAACCTTCGAGGATTTTCCTCTTTTATTCTCATACTTTGACTCGAAGTAGCGTTGCTGATGAATAATTTCACAAATACAAGCGTAGAAAGCGCAACTGGCTTCTGTTTATTGGACGAAACCATACTCCCAGATTATTTATTTGATTTGTATCAAAACCTTTTAGGATTGCACAGATGTGTTCATTGAGTTTATCGATTATTCCTCAGTCCCTAAAACATATCATTCCTACTACTATTGTTATTGTGCTAAATACTCTCATGTTTGGCTTCATAATCCTATCACGGTGCACTAATGCTGTGTAGCAACGTGAACCGATACACATTTGTATGGTTGAAAGAATGTTGTAAAGTAGTATGAGACTGCCTAAAGACTTTGTGAATATAAACTCCAGGCACAGTAAAGATGAATGTTAGGTTATGAAATGAATGATTTACAGGACTGGAACCTGTCAACACATCTGAACTAGGCTGTAAGAGCTCTGTATATATGAAGCTTACTGGTGGTTATTACTCGTATGTGCGAGATCTAATTCGCGCTGTGAAAATGCAAATTACTGCTGAAAGACTGCCACAAGTATGTGTCTGCGATTGTGTTTTATGTTAAATGGCATACAAATGTCTTATTAACCTTTTTTGCAGTGGAATATTATCTGATTGTTCGAGGCTTTAAACTCTACATATAGCACGTAACATATTAAGATAACGTCAAATATAGCTTGAGAGGCTACCCATAGCAAATAATGGCATGTGATAAAAGTTAGTCAGTCATTTACAATGTAGAACTTCTTACTTGAGTATATCAGTTCAGGTTGCCATACCGCATTAGCACAGAGACGCAACTGTCAGTTCAAATCACATAGTGGTGGAGATATTAGGAGTGTTCACATTTATGGAGAAGATTACGGTTCGAAGATATAATTCAAGAAGTATAATTCAGTGAAACAGATTTGAGAAGAGAAAAATAAGGGCGATTAGGAATTCAGGAGACTGGAATTTCATAGAACTGATACAGTAGATGCACTTGTACCATTGCCAACAATTTTGAACCATGTCTTTCAAGGTCTCTAATCATCGGTTACTTTCGTCTCGCGGGCCTCAACCTGATAGTTTTTATCTACCAACATGACTCAGTCCACTTGTCAGGGACTTCACAGATTTGCGCCATGCTTTGGTTTGGTCTACCCGAGCTTTCTTCCAACCTACTCCTACACCACAAAACATAGCTTGCCAAGGAAGTTGGTGGTTGAGCATACGTGACACATATCTCAACCACCTTAGCTGATAAAATTTTACTACTTCATCTATTGATCTGCCATTCCTATCTAGTACTTGATTCATAACTATAGCATTGCTTACTCAGTTGTCTTAGGAGAGACGAGTAATGATTCGAAGACTCCTATGGTCCAAAACCAGTAACCTACGATTATTCTCTAATATTACTGGTCATTCTGCATTTCGAGGGGGAAATGCTTGCATTGTTGCTTAGGGTAGTCAGAGGACTATGTATTTTATCAGCGTTCTCATCGAATAGAACTATGTTGACAGCATACTTTAAGTCAGCAAGCATGTCGCCTGGTAAAAGGTCCACTCCTGAAGAGTCAGACGACGATAAAGTCGACCTCAGAAGCATATCTACGACGAAATTTAACAAGAACGGAGAGAGTCGACAGCCCTGAAGGACACCACTTGAAGTAGAGAATTCGGATGACAGTTCGCCATAGGCTCTCACTCGATCAGTGGTGTTCGAGTAGAGAGCTTGTATAAGGTTAGTGTACCTCTTTGGTACACCTTTTGATGACAGAAATTGCCTCAAAACCTCACGATACACAGAGTCGAATGCCGCCTTAAGTTCCAGGCAGACAATTACTATCCGACGCCTAAATGTGTGTCTGTGCTCCAGGACCTGTCGTTTTGTAAAAATGTGATCTATACAGCAACGTTCGGGTCTGAAACCAGCCTGATTTCCTCTAGTCTGCTCTTCCTGAGCTCTAATTAGGCGTCCAAGTATAATCGAGTCTAACAGTTTAGAAACTATATTAGTTAGACTGTAATTGTCACAAGAGGACTTTTGTCCTTTCTTATAGACTGGGACAGTCAGTGATTGAGACCAGTCAGATGGGATTATGTCCAGTTCCCAGATTCTATTTAAGATCTCAGTCAATTTAGCTGCTAAAACTAAACCACCATCCTTAAAAATCCTAGCGGTAAACCCATCAGGACCTGTTGCTCTCCTTCGCTTCAGATTCTCTATAGCACGTTTTACTTCATAAAGATTCAGAGGGCTTATGTCGACTTGCTATTCAGGATGACTGGAGATCGTGGGCAACCGAAGTGTGGCGGAAAGCCAGTTGAACTGATGCTTAAAGTGCTCAGCCTATCGGTTCAATCTTCTGGATTGATAACAAATGATACAGCCATTATTTTCTAAAACAGTTTTGCTGACAGATGGATTCCTTAATACCGGTTTCTTTGATAAGTCGGAAAAACTCTCTGCTATTATCTATCGCCGCTGCCTTTTCCATCTCTCTCACTTTCGCCACCCACCACTGTTTGCGATCATTGCGTAGGCTTTTTATCAGCCTGCGCTTAAGCTGAATTTGATCTTCAAACGGGAGGAGTTTACGAGCGTCTATCAGTTCGGTGGATGATACTGAGATCCACGGCTTCTTCCTAGCCATATGGTCTACCATACTAGCAGACATTACTGCTGTATCCACAGCATTCTTGATATCATTCCAAGCTGCCTCAGGATGGGAATCACTTACGTGACCGCCTAACTGTTTTTTTGATTGTTTCTGAAATATATTCCTAGCTATGCTATCATTAAGTAGAACCCTAAGATGTTTCCTTGCCGTGTCTTTCCTGCGTCCAGTAAGTCTCAAACAAATACGCTCGCACTAGCGCAAATTTAGGCGTGTGCCCCAGAACGAGCGACAGTCCTCTATCGAACCTCTCCATCGGTGGATAATGGCAATCTGATCTAGTTGGGTCCAGCGTTGAGACAACTTTGGGGGTCACCAGGTCAAGAGATGTTTTTTCTTTATGCTTAAAGTCAGTTTTTTTCTGGAAATAGGCAGTTTCCTGAGCACAGTTACAACAGACGGTCGCCATTGTCTGTTCTCTGAGCCGCGACACCATAGCATCCACTCGGGTGTCTTTCATTTTAACTTAGTCTACCTACTTGAGCGTTAAAGTCACCAGCCATTATAACAATATCAGAGTGCCTAACATTTTTGGAGGGGGTCTGAAAGCTTTCTGTAAAACTCATCTTTAACCTCGTCTGAACTGCAGTCAGTGGGGGCGTAGACAGATACGGCGAGTGTTCCTATCTTTCCGAGTCCTTACTGTCCCGTTTCTTCGGACGGCGCACAAGCCACCATCTACTGGGATCAAGTATAAGAGAGCTAGTCCTGCTCTAGGAATCAATGCTATACTTACGCGGTCAAGACCCCGGGAAGCAGCATCAGGGCATCCGGGTACACTCAGAGTAAATCTAGTTAGTTCTTTATTTTGACATGGTGACTTCAAGTGAATGACGCTACTCGGATCCTGTATGCACTTTCCCGAGCAACAGCATCCATCGATGGCGCGAGATTCTAAAGTCTTAGCTAAGGAAGCCTGTTGCCCTACTTGACACAGTTTCTGGACTTTGAAAGATACAACATATAGTTTAGAACGGAAATTTCAGGAGACTAGGAGTAACATTTCGTGTACTCGAATCGTTTGCATCGGCGGTGCAGGGTCATAAATAAATGTGGGGTGAGTCGTGGAGATAAGAGAGAGATGTTAACGGGTGTATAGTAAAGATTTGACTATGACCAATTTGATCTTGTGTGCTGTTGTGGGTGTATGAGAGCAGATGTCACTTTCCGGCTGCCCACACCGTGGAATCGTGTCTTTAGTATATATAGAGAAGGGAGGTAGATTAGTGTTGGTCTAAAGAGACCACTGCTTGAGGCAGCTCACCATTCATTCATTGTACTTCGTCGTTTAAAATTATTCGATAATTGTATCGATGATCATTTTGTATTTTTAATGACTCGATAACAGTATCGATTATTGTATATTTGATTGCGTGTGCACGCTTGCTTACTCGCTTATTACATAGTTGGCTCACTCGCCTTCTCCAATTTGCTTCGTCTTGCTTGTAAACTATCGATTCTCATGTCTGTCTGCATAAAATGATACATGAAATAAATTCTCCTGTGAAACCGTATTTGGCGTCTTACTACTGTAGTGAAGGAGAACACAGGTGAGGGCAACCGAATTGTATTTAACGAAAATTACAGAGTTACTCAGTAAAATGGGAAAACCATATCGTAAACGGTTAATTAGCAAATCTTCAATCCATCATCAATCCACTGTCTGACAAATTGCATTGTGTTCCCACTCTTCCTCTCTTGATCTTCCCCCATCTTCTGCTGCCAGACATTACGTTTACACTCGCGTCATATACTACTTATAAGTAGTGCGCACCACACTACCACCGATGCGCGAACAGAGTTTGCCCAAGTATGATATACGGAAATAGACAGGAAGATTAATTTCATTGCACACTGGATCTTTCGTAAAACTGGATTCAAATCGTGAGCCGCTAAAAGCTAATCTATTACTCGATGTTGTCTAGTGTAGAAAATATTTAGAATAGGGTTGGGAGCAGTCAAGCCATAATATGGGATCCGTCCTTGAAGTCATTGTCTGTTAGTGGACTGCGTCGGAAGTTTAAGACCCGTTTTATTAATGCGGACTTTTATTGATGCCTCAGATCGATCATAGCAGAATAGGTACGTGTATGATGGAAGTTTCTTCAACTGATAATAGTTCACTGGTGTATTATTTCTCTTATTAATATCTTGTATGCTATCTATCTACATTTCTTGATTTAGACTGATCGTCTAGATAATGAAACAACATATCATCATGATACTTTGAAAGAATTTTTATCAGAAGAATTTAATAAAATGAGTAAAGATAATGATCAATTGTATGCTAAATGTGAATTAACCGAAGCAAATTTATTTCATTATTTACGTTTACTGAGATCATACCTGACTGACACAAATTATCCACTTAGTCAACAAAGTACCATTATCAATAATCCACTTTATACTACTACTACTACTGATGATTGTATAACACATATTACTGCTCAAACACAATATCAACAGAATAATTTTAATGTGACCGATACGATTGTACATCATTTCGCCATAGAAATCAATGATAAATTAATTCAGTCAACTATAAATAATAATAATAATATTCATCCTTTTCTAAGTCTCAATAAAAATATCGAAAAAGAATTTCTATTTGAATTAAATGAACTTGCATTGGCTACAAAAAATTTATTAAATTGTTGGGAAATGAAAAGTCATGAAATTAACTATTATTCATCAATATGTCAACAATTTTTCAAGGTATTACTTAATTTTTGTATGATTTTAATAAAACCGTATTATTCTTATTCTACTGGAGAATTTGATCAATTTTCAAATTTCAATTTAAATGATTTACGAGTAAAAGTTGAAAAAGCTGAGCAACAAATTATTGATTTGTCGAATGAATTAAAAAATCATAAAATTCAACTTAATCAATTCACTGAAAAATTGGAACAACAGCAATTAGAAATTGATAATAATATGAAGAGGAAACTAAATAATGATCAGGTGAGAAATTATACTTAATTACCTACTTACCCTTGTGACCCTCAATGAAACATAGGCTGCAGACCAGTATTCTCTAACCTACTCTATCCTGGGTCTTCCTTTTTAGTTCAGCCCAATTGCTGTTCATTCTTAGCATGTATACTTCCGTTTCACGGTGTAATGTGTTCTTTGGTCTTCCTCTTTTCGTTTGGCTCTGAGGATTCTAAGTTAGGGCTTGCCTTGTGATGCAGTTGGGTGCTTTCTTCAATATGTGTCCTGTCCACTTCCACCGCTTCTTCCTGATTTCTTCCTCCTCTGGAATCTGGTTTATTCTCTCCCGCAGTAGGTTGTTGATGATGGTGTCTGGTTAACGGATCCAAAGTATTTGCAACTGTTACTAAACACTTTTGTCGCGCCATACAGTGGGACTGTCTTGACTTAATAATTTTTCTTAAAGGATAACCTAAACATTTTGTTTTTTTCTTTTCTTGGGATGTTAAGAGTTGAATTGACTTATCAACTTGAAATGCCCATTATTGGTTGTATTCAATGCGATTGTAGATTAAGAGAGATTGAAAAGGTTGTCATTATTTGCATACTCTTTACATTTTAGATTAGAAGAATGCTTTCTAGTCAAATTTTGCGATAAAGGTTCGGTTTAAGTTCACATCTCTCATCTAAATTATGATTCAACTTATAAACTGTATAACATTGTTTGCATGGGATATGTATGAAATAGAGCTAACAGTATCTATCAGTGGACATCAACTCTGGGATACAGCCAAATAGGAATTACATAGTATACTACCGAAGTGGATGGGGAATACGCATCATAAATTTTACTGCTAATCACATTTAATCGATTCTTTGTAGACTTCTTCCATAATGACTACATCGTGGCGATCTGTGCAGAATATGTACAAATGTGTTCCAACGGTATGCCCTTACATATATGTATGAAGAAGACACTCAAAGAGGTTAGGGGAAACCCTGTTTTCGAACAAATAATGTACATGGGCTCTAGAATCCCAAGGGCACAAATGGAATATGAACTTATTGTAAGCTACTTGTTAGACCTGTAAACTGAATCTGCGAGGATTGGTCTCCTAAGTAAACTACCTGCTTCTGTTGGATGTGTGAACAACAACTCAGTCCGCTTACAAACTAAACAGTTTGTGTGCCTCACAATTATTTAAATGTTGCTTTATACCTTGAACAACGTGGCTTAAAATCGTTTGCAATGGTACAAGTGTATTCACTCTTTGTGTTCGCTCAAATTCTAATCTTCTGAATTCCTCATCACCTCTATGTTACTCTTTTATAAATTTATTTCATCGGATTACACCTCTTGAATAATATGTTCAAACCCTAATCCTCTCGATTATCACTAATACCTCTACTATAAAACTGATAATTGCCTTGTTGACTTCCCTGTGTTTCAATCGCAACATGTACTGTCTTCGTCCTGAGAAGACTGAGGCAGGCGCAGAAAATTGTATCATGCAAATCTACACTCTGAGTCAATTAAAAACGAAAACATTACATTAAACACTCTATTTGCACACCATCTTTGAGTCGTGACTTCCAACACTCCATTCTTCTTCCATTCCTGTTGTTGCTTCCTTTCCTTCCTCTGTTGGTATTCCATTTACTTCTTGCTTTTGCTCCATTTACTTTCCGTTTTTCTCTTCTGACCGTGAGACTTCTTCTTTCACGTCCCTTCTTATACTACTTATATCGTTCGTATAAGTAGCACACACCACAGTTCTACTTCACCACTTCATTTCTTCACTGCTCAATTTCAATTCATGTAATTTTCAATAATCATTCACGTCTGTTCATTACATCATCAATTAATAGGCAGTTCTATGAACATTACTGATGACTACATTGTACATACATGAATATTTTCTTGCTCATTGAATTGATTCACAGTGTTTCATTTAAACGATTTTCCAGTCATGCTAATTGCGTATTCACATCTAACCAACAACAAAACTTCCATGCATCATTATCTCATCAGCGCTGATAGCCTGGTGACTGAAGAAATCTCAGCACGGATACAGAAAGTTCGATTGGCTTTTGCCAACCTGCGTCACTTATGGCTTAGGCGTGATATCCGTTCGCTAACCAAAGGACGAGTGTATTGTGAAGCAGTTCGCTCCGTTCTCCTATATGGCTCTGAAACATGGCCGTTAAGAGTAGATGTTCGTAGGTTACTAGTATTGCTCGTAAATCGTGGGACAACCGAGTAAGCAATGCTGTCGTTAGGAAACGAGTTCTAGGTAAGGATGGCAGATCAATCGATGAAGTGGTGAAACTTCATCAGTTGAGGTGGTTGGAACATGTGTTACGTATGGCTAACCACCGACTGCCTCGACGAGCTATGTTTTGTGGTGTAGGAATAGATTGGAAGAAAGCTAGGGGCGGCGAGACCGAAACATGGCAGAAATCCATGAAGGCACTGAATAGTGGACTGAGTCATGTCGGTAATTGTCGACTACCTGGTTGGAGTCCGCAAGACGAAAGTCACCAATGGTTAGAGACCTTGAACGACATAGCTCAAAATCGTTTGCAATGGCACAAGTGCATCTATTCTTTGAGCTCTCTTAAATCCTAATCTTCTGGATTCGTCAGCATCTCTACCTTTGTCTTCTAACCTTATTTCACTTAATCATACTTCTTGAATAATATCTTCAAACTCTTGTCTTCTTACTTACCATATTAATACCTCTACTATCTTTATCACTATGGGATTTGATTTGACATTTGCGTCTTTGTGCTAATGTGGTATGGCAACATGAACTTATGTACATACGTACGTAGTTCTAAGTTGCAACTGACTGACTGAATATGCATAGTTTTGGTCTTAAAGTTTGATAAGTTGATGGAGAAGATTTATAGCACATAAGTGGATGGTTCGATTTCATCAGTGTTCTTACTGACGATGTTGTCTTGGAGGCGCAATGAAAGTCTGACGATTCAAACTCATGCAAATGAGAACGAAATTCCACTAAATTTGTGATAAAGAAGTTGTGAGTATCTGATAAAAACTCAACAAAATACGAATGAATTCATGTTAGTTATCCCTTGTTTTGGTTCTATTCAAGTTAGAAGGAAGGAAATAGGTGTACGAGACTTGATAGATGTGCAGATTATTTTCAACTGCTTTTTGTCCACTGGTTCATTTCATTATCACGAACTAGTGAATCCAACCGAAATCTATACTCTTTTATTTTCTATTCATCCACTGACCTTCATCCACCAGTGTAAATGCATATTGAATCTATCAGTACATTGTATACTTCTAAAACGTATTTGGTTATATCGGTTACTGACTTACTTACTTACCTACGCCTGCTACCCCCAATGAAACATAGGCCACCCACCAGTTTTCTCCAACCAACTGTGTCCTTGGCTTCCCTTCCCAGTTCTTTAAATCGGTTGATTGTACAATAATCTTTGATTTGTAATAATGATGTTTAGTTGTGATGATCTCTGCAGTTCTCTACGTTCAGAAGGTTGAATCTTTTGTGAATAATTTTTAAATTTCAGCTGGGACATTTTTAGCTGCTTTCCTTTTCCTTATGAATTGCTGTTATTGTGTTTGAGACATTCACTGTTAACTTTATCAACAAAAATGCAACAAAATACTTCGTTATTCAATAATAATTCCTGAAAATGTTACATTGTCCACCACTACTGAACTGATGCCCTGAATTTAGGTGGTAAAATGAATAAATTCCCATTAATGTGTGTGTGTGCGCGTACGCATATACACACACATCTCATTCAGATGCAACGTAGAACTTCGTACGTAAGTACATCAGTTCATGTCGCCATACCACATCAGCACAGAGATGTAATTGTCAATTCAAATCCAATAGTAGAAGGGGTAGTAAAGGTATTAGAAGTAATCGGAGAGGTTAGGATTAGAAGATATTATTCAAGAAGTATGATTTAATGAGAAAAATTTAGAAAGTTAAAACTAGAGGGGTTGAAGAACCCAGAAGATTAGGATTTGAGAGAACACAAAGCATAAATGCACCGGCGCCATTGCGAACGATTTTGAGCCATATCATTCAAGGTCTCTAACCATCGATTATTATCATCTCGCGGACCCCAAGCTGGTAGTCGACAATTAGCGACATAGCTAAGTCCACTTGTCAATGACTTCATGAATTTCTGCCATGTTTTGGTTTGTCCGCCCCTAACTTTCTTCCAACCTATTCCTATACTACAAAACAAAGCTCGACGAGGCAGTCTGTGGTTAGGCATACGTAACACATGTCCCAACCACCTCAACTGATGAAGTTTCATTACTTCATCTATTGACCTGCCATCCTTACCCAGCACCCGTTTCCTAACAACAGCATTGTTTACTCGGTTGTCCCATGATACATGAGCAATGCTTCGAAGACACCTATGATCGAAAATCAATAACCTACGAATATCTTCCACTCTTACTGGCCATATTTCACAGCCATAAAGTAAGACGGAGCGAACCCGTGCACAGTACACTCATTCTTTAATCAACAAACGGATATCACGCCTACGCCATAAGTGACGCAGGTTGGCAAAAGCCAATATACACATACACACACATACACATCTACTTAACAAGTACTCATCACATGAATAGTGTAAATCATAACTATCGTTATTTTTCATTTCATTTCATTTTTTTAAGGCAACCAATCAACAATATATGGCTGGTGATGAAAATGTTCCCATTCAAGTGGCAAATCAATTTACAAATGATAAATTAGAATTTAATCAAAAGCATTCACTTTATTTAACTGAACAATCTCTCATTAAATTAGCTGAATTATACGATTTTCTACAAGAGCAAGTCATTCACAAGCCAAACACATTAGTTAAACAAAATGAACAAGATAATCAATTGTCTATTCAAACAATTGACCGAATACTTAGTGAAAAATTTGAAATTATGGAAAAGAATTTCAGTGAAAAACTTCAATGTATCTTACATGTTATATATGAAGAGTTAAATTGGTATAAACAGATTGTAGCGAAACTTTTCGATGAAAAATCAATCCTATATGAATTGATTGGTGGTACGCAAGTACCGAAGAAAGAATATATAAGAAAGGAACTAGGCGAAAATAAATTTAGAATAAAAGTGGCTTCCACAGAACAAATTGTCAATAAATCATACACATCTTCAATAAATATTGACAAACAATGTGTTAAAATTTTAAATTCAACCGATACCAAAATACCAACTAGTTCACAAGAGTCAAATATATATAACGCAGAAAATAAGGAGCTAATACTTGAGTGTGACTTTCTGAGGCGTTGTCTTGAAAGCTATGCTAATCTTAATGACAACGTCTCGGAA